AAAATATACTAGTAGGTAGCGTATTTTGCATTCAATAGCTTATAAGCTCGTATATTGTTATACTAATGAGTATCAGAATGTAATAAAAATTAATAAAAGTATTTTACAATAGAGGGAAAATAATAATGGTTAGACTTACAATACAGTTCTAGGATACCAATGAATAATGTTTACATTCGTGACTTAATTGAAGTACAAAAACCGAAGTAAAAGATGTAGCTCAAGATGTTTTAATATACCTTTTAATGTTTGCTTGATATACCTTTCATAGATCTTTAAAAATGTTTTTCTTTATCTCGTGTAAACGTATATTTTCTTTTAAAAGTTTGTGTAAGTCGTTTTAACAATACAGACATAGTTAAGCTTCTTAAACAAGGAGATTTATAACTTTTACGAAGTTTTCGTGCGTTGATTAGGTTAGACGTACGGAGAAATTTGCTGAATGTAAATATCCTTTTAAAAATATATTTTATTGTAAAGATTATTTTGGAAGCATCATTCATATACAGCCATGTTAAACAACCTAATTAGAGTAGTTAGCGAAATAAAAATAACTTTTAGTCTCTTATACAGAGTAGCATATATGTACATAACCTTATTATTTATAATCTTTTAATATATATTATATATATATATTATATATATATATATATATATATATATAACACTGTTTTTGATGGGTTGGAGTCAATAAAAGGGGCTATTTGTTGACTATTTTTTACTCGAGCTTTCAATTGTGATTACAATTTTTATCAAGAGCTTCTAAAAAATACAAAATGTCTTACAAAGTTGAACTAGAAATAAAAAATTTTTTGTTAACTCACCAAATAAAATTAGTTTTTTATATAAAACTACTGCATACATAATAAATACAAAAAATATTAATAAAAAAATGCCTTATTCTAATAAATGTTTCTCTGAAAAATTTAGATGAAGTTTCTTAAGAAAAAAAAATTGAATTTATAAACAAAAATAGAATAGCTACAACCAGCCTAAAATGACATAAATACTAACTTAAAAATTTTTATTTTTGACATATTGTCAAAAATAAAATTTTGTTTAAAAAATTCTTCTTTGTTAAGTAACAAAAAAGAAGAAGATTTATTCACCATTGATAGATGCCCAAAAAAATGTAACAAATACATGGAAAATTCAAAATGTGATATTTTACTGACTGCATAAATTAAATAGAAATTATATAATTATAAATTTTGCTTAAATTTTGAATTTCTGACCTTTTGTTTAAATTATTATCACTTTTGCTAATACAAACCATTTCCAAAAAAGTTCTTTTAAATTTATTACTTTCATTACATAAAATTTTAATATTATCAAAATCCATAATATGGTCTTTGTCTATTACATGCTCTGCCAAAGCACAAGATGGTTTCTTAATTCTACAATCACTCTTGTGAGAAATAATGCGATTTGAGAGATTTCTTCCAGTCTCACCAATATACTCAGCTTCACACTGAGTACAAACAATGCTGTATACTACATTTGTTTGATCTAATTTGTCTATAGGATATTTAGTTTTGGAATATAAAGATGAAATAGTTTTGATGTTCTTTGTTGCTATTTTTATATTGTCAATAACCTTTAATGTTTGTATTAATTTAGGAGTTAATGATGGTATAAAAGGTAGTGAATGATAATATATGTTTTGATTGTTGGATACAGTGTTTTGAGATTTAGCAAAAATGGTGTTAAGTTATTTATATTTAATAAATTAGAAAAAAGCATTCTATGTAGCATATCAGGAGGATAAGAGTTTTCAATTAAAATATTTTTTAACAAATGAAGATCTTCTTGTAGGTAGTCTGGATGAGAAAGTTTTAAAACACGTTCCTTTAATCCTGTTATAAGGTTCATTTTCATTTATTTGGATGATTAGAGTAATAGCTTATAAATCTATTACTACATATGGGTTTTCTGAACCATCTAGTTTTCAACATATTGTCTGTATTTCTTACAATTCTCATGTCAAGGAATGGTAGAGAATTATCTACCTCTTCCTCAACTGTAAATTGTATATGTTGATTATGATTGTTGAAAATGTTGACTGTTTTCAAAAATTTTGTGTTTAGGAAGTGCCAAAACTAGATCATCTACATATCTTTTGATAAATGGAATGAAAAAAGTGCAATTATTGATACAATCACTAATAACATCATCCATGACATAGCTACTTAGAATGGGTGAAAGACTAGATCCCATAGGGCTACCAAAAATTTGTTTATAAAAAACACCATTAAATATAAAAATATTAGAATCAAAAACAAAGTTGATGAGTGTTTTAAAATGTAATAAGTCAATATTAGTATGTTGCGAAATCTCATTCCAATGTTTTTCAACACTACTTATGATTAAATTTAAAGGTAAATTAGTAAAAAGAGATGTTACATCAAAACTAACTAAAACATAATTTTGTGGTAATTGGAAATTATTAATGAAAGATCTAAAATCAAATGAATCTTTTATGTAAAAATTGTTGTTTAAATTATAAGCATTGGTTAAGATGTCAGTGAGGAGCTGTGCTATTGGTCCATTTGGAGGGCATAGAGATGAAACAATTGGTCTCATAGATAAAGTTGGTTTATGTATTTTAGGTAGAGCATAAAACCGTGGTGCAATAGAATTATAAATTTTGAGTTCTTTTGCTTTTTTATTATCAATAAATTTCTTACTGTTTAATTTTGATACCAGACAATTTGCTTTTTGTTGTAAAGTACAAACAGGACTCCTTCTAAGTGTAGTGTAATACTTAGTATCATTTAAGAGTTCTCCAGTTTTTTGTAGGTAATCCTCTTTATACATTACAACAGTTACGTTACCTTTATCGCTTTTGACAATATAAATTTCAGGATGGTTAATTTCTTACTCTTATATATATATATATATATATATATATATATATATATATATTTTATATATATATATATATATATATATATATATATATATAGGAAAAGAAATCTTTGCTGACAAATTATTGGGTGAAATAAATGTACTATTTTAACTAAGTTTCAAGCTTTCGAAAATGTTTACTTTCATCATCAGGAAAAACTGAAATAAAGTGCGACTGTTAGTAAAGTATCCTCGAAACCTAAGGTTACACTTAAAAGTTTAAATTTTGTAAAAACTACGTTATTGAGATTTGTCTTTCGCGGATGTTCTACTCAGAGGTGACAAATTAACGCACCACTCATTGATTGAGTCAATTAGTAAAAGATATAAAAATGGCATGGTGTAAAAGACCAAACTTGACAAATTATTTTACTCTAACACATAAGAAAAAGACAATTACAATCAGGTTAAAAAGCAACGTGTGCCGGCCAACCAAGGGATGTTAGGTTAAGAGTAGCTGTCATTCTTGGACATTGCAAATGACAGTACTTCTTCTTATTTTCTTTGTCTTATCTAGTACTACTACTATTCTTCTTCTTCGCGTGCCATATCATAACTATCCGACGTTGGCGATCACCATTGCGAAGGCTTCTCGATGTTTTGCAATATGGAATAATTGTCCTGCATTTGGTATCCATATAATTTGAGTCCATTCACGAATGTTTTTTAACCAAGAAACTTGTTTTCTTCCTACACCTCTACGGCCCTCTATTTTGCCTTTAAGGATCAGTTGTAAAATTTTATATCGACTTCCCCTTACTATATGTCCCAGATAAGACATTTTTCGATGTTTAACAGTCTTTAGCAGTTCTCTGCCTAGTACTTCTTCATTAGCTTTTCTTGCTGTCCAAGGTATCTTCAGCATTCGTCTATGAACCCACATTTCCAATGCTTCAATTTTGTTCATAATCGATACTTTTAGCGTCCACACTTCTGCACTATACAAAAATACAGACCAAACATAGCACTTAACCATTCTTTGTTTTAGTTCTAAACTGAGTTGGTTATTGCAAAAAATGACTTCATTATCATGAAAGTAGTTTTAGTCATTGCTATTCTACGTTTTATTTATATATCTGTATCTAGTTGATCCGTTATTACAGTTCCCAAATATGTCATTTTGTGAACTTTCTCAACTTGGACTCCGTTCAATTGAAGCTTTGCATCGGGATGTGGGTCACGACTAAACACTAAAAATTTGATTTTTTTTGAGTTTATTTTACTGCCCATTTTCTCTCCTACCTCGTGAATACGATCAAGCAGAAGTTGAAGACCTTCAATATTATATGATAGAATTACTGTATCGTCTGCATATCTAATCATATTAAGTAGTTCCCCGTTGATTTTTATTCCATATGGTTATCTCTCAAGTGCCGTTTAAAATAGATGGTCCGAGTAAACATTGAACAATGTTGGCGACAAAATGCAACCTTGTCTGACTCCTCGTTGTATGGGGATTTCATCGGTGTAGTTATCTCCAATTTTTACGATAGCAGTTTGATTCCAGTACAAATTTTTTATTACACGAATATCCTTGTCATCTATTCCGATATTTTTCAGTATTTGCATTAATTTTACATGCTGTACTTTATCGAATACCTTTTCGAAGTCTACGAATCATGCAAATACATCTTTTCTTTGGTCACGGCATTTTTGTAATAGGATGTTAAGCGCAAAAAGTGCCTCCCTGGTTCCCAGAGCATTTCTAAAACCAAATTGGGTATCTTCAAGATCTTCTCCGCATTTGCGTCTAATTCTGTTGTGAAGTATTCTGAGGAAAATTATAACAGTGTGGCTCATTAGGCTAATTAATCGATATTCTGAGCATTTTCTCGCATTGTGTTTTTTATGTATTGCGATAAAGATGGATTTGAGCCAATCTGCGGGAATCACTCCGGTGTTATATATTGAATTAAAAAGTCCTACTACTACTTTTATGTTATCATTCTCTATTAGTTTCAGCAACTCAGTTGGTGTATCATCTGGACCACAAGCTTTTCTAATTTTAGCATTATTTACTTACGTAAAGTTCATAACAAACACAACGTAAAATAAAACATTTAATATTTTACTTATTTTTTTTTGTTTTTTAGGAAGGTCTTGGAAAAAGTCAAACTTTTCAACTAACTTTCCGAAATCCTCCAGACAATTATTTCTTTATGTCCTGGAATTGGCCAGTGATTAGAAAAATATCAGCATGGATTTATATGTCGGCATTAGTGGCCATGCTAGCCTTAGTGATAGCAATGATTTCCACTTTACCTAAAACGTGTAATCCTCCAACATATTGGTATCAAGGAAATCTACTATACGAAATTTTTCCTGCTAGCTTCTACAGTGGAAAGAAAAATATGGAAGGTGATTTTAAAGGAATAACTCTTAAAGCTGAATATATACAGAAGTTAGGTGTCCGAGCAGTAAGATTTAATTCTATATTTCCAAATCCAAATTATCCCCATGACTTTGATAATATTACAAGTTTAACTGACATAGCTCCTCTTCTGGGAAGTTTAAGTGAGTTTAATGTTATGGTAAAACAACTAAAAGCAAGAAATATTTCTGTAATATTAGATCTACCATTATATCCTTATATTAAAAGCTTGGCTCATAAAAAAATGAACACAAGAAATGAAACTTACGCTGAATCTAACGTCGAGTTTTTAAGACAAGAGGAAGTAACCCGAGAATATGATGTAGTAGAGCAAGCAATTCTCCATTGGATTTCCAATGGCGTGGAAGGATTTTATATCAAAGGTTTGGAAAAATTACAAGAAGATTCAAACTTAGTGGAATCAATAAAACGTTGGAAGACAATTCTTGGAGAACATAGAGTTCTTATAGTAAGCGATACTTTTATCTCTTCCTTGAAACCACCTGCGTTAAACTTTATTTTAAATAACGTCGATTTGGTTGATATCAGGCTAGATGTAAGCCAAGGAGTAACTTCCGTAAGCAGACAAATTAAATCTTTGCAAAATAACACATTATATTCGAAACCTGGAATGCCATGGATACATTGGTCAGTAGGAGATGTTAATTCACCACGCGTAGCAAATATTTTACCTTCTGGCAACTGTACCCTAGGGGTTACCCTCCTCCAACTAATGCTTCCAGGTACTCCATCAATTTTTTATGGTGACGAAATAGGGCTACCGGAAATATCGGATTTAACAGGAGAACGACAGGATATTAGAAACCTGCATCAACTTACGATGATGCCTTGGCAAAATGAAAAACAAGTAGTACTTCCTTGGATAAAGGGTGATGTCAATATACACGGTAAATTTGATCAAATAAACCTAATAAACAAAACCGTAGAATTAAGAACTGAATCTCCTTCTATTTATATGAACTCGGTGTACAAAGAAGGAGTTACTAAACCAAACATAGATGTGAAATATGCTGAAGATGAATTGTTGGTAGTACAGAGATGGTATCCAAGAAGAAAAGCGTTTATTCTGGCTTCCAATCTGGGGAACAAGATGTTATCCACAGATCTTTCTAAACTTCTTTACAGCGGAGAAGTTGTAGTTGGCCCACGACCAGATTCTAAGGCGGGTACAATAATATTTAAACATATATCATTATGGCCTGGAGAAGCTGTTATTGCTATGCTCACATAAATTTTGGTGTATTATAAACTTGTTGTGTGTTATGTTCTTATTTACAGTATTTGTGACTGTACAGTTTTTTTTAATTATATTCATAGATCATGACCGTTGTTTTAATTGTGTAACATATTTATAGCCAATCAAGTTAGCAAAAAATAAGTCTTTTTTAGTCACGTGTATAGACGGGTTCAACAATTAAATCTGCAGTATGAGATAATACAATCTATTATTATCTCTTATTAGAGATTATCTAGGTATTCATCAAATTTTGAGTGGAAATATTTTTAAATAAATAATCAGAACGTCAAACTCATTATTTGGTCATAACTCAAAAACTTATCTTAGCATTTATAGCATTTATGAGCTTATATGTCAACAGTAACATATCGTCGTTCTGATGTCAAAACCTTGTATCTCAAAATTAGTGTATTTTGGGAAATCACCTAAAACTTCACATAGTGGAAAATATAACTTTTAAAGTTGTTTTTTTTTTTAATGTGGGTAGTTCCACGAAATGAATTATTTGAGACGGCGATGAAACTTGAAAAAAATAAAGATTTTTTTCGAAAAAAAAAACGCCAGATACGAGTTTTTGAAATTTAAATAGTATTTAATTTCAGGTCTTAAGAAGTTTTGGTAGCATACTTTCAGCTCTTTTACGCCTTTTTTACACACAAAGAACAATATTATAGAAGAAAAATAAAGTGTTTATTATTAAAAGAAATGAAACAAACATGTAGCATAGACATTCTGATATAAACTAAAATAAACACAACTATTTTAAATTAATGTAATGTAATGATTAAATTTATCTTCTTAATGTGCAAATGGTTATTATACATTTTTCTTGCGATTCCTGCATTATTCGTATTTTTGCGAACTTTTAAAAACTGCTACTCTTCGTCAAAGTTTAGTTTGAATTGAACAGGCAAATCTCTGGAATACCTTAGAGCCCTCAGATCATTCACGCATGCATCTCCCACTTTTCTTCCTGAACAAAAAATTTCGGAATAGTCATTAAAAAATTGGTGATCAATGAATTTAACTCTGTATGTATTTTTGGATATATAGACGGATCTAAACAAAGACGAAAACGGCAACGAAAAAGGACCATAATGATAGGTACATGGAATGTACAAGGAATAAGGGGTAAAACTGAAGAGATCATCAAAGAAGTAAAACAACTTGGCCTCAACATAGTGACCCTCACTGAAACAAAGAAGAAGGGCGTTGGATCAGTAATGATAGGAGACTACATACACCTGTATAGCGGCGCACCAAAGGAAGAAAGAGCTAAGAGAGGAGTATCCGTAATTATTAACAAAAAGTTTAAAAGGAAAATTACCAGCTGGACTGCAATAGATGAAAATATCCTGCAAGTAAATATCACCCTACACCATAAAAAAAAACAACAATACTAGCAGTCTATGCCTCCTCAGAGGATGAGAATGTAACCGCAAAAGACGAATTCTTTGCAAAATTAAACGAAGTTATTACTAGAGTTGGAAATAACCGAGAAATATTTTTATTAGGCGATTTTAATGGAAGAACAGGAGACAAGCGCCACAACAATGTAATTGGACCTTATGGAGAAGACGTCGTATATGATAACGGAGAAAGACTTATCAATCTCTGTGAAAGTAATAGACTCAAAATAACTAACGGATATTACTGTCACAAAAAACATACACAAATATACATGGTTTCAACCAACAAGGAATCTTAAGTCTATAGAAGATTACGTGATAGTTAAACAAAATTCACAAATACTCATTAGAGATAGTAGAGCTATGAGAGGAGTAGTATGCGGGTCAGATCACCACATGGTCAGGGCAAAAATTGTTTTCCCATATAGATTAAAGGACAGTGTCTCATCAAGCCAAGACGAACAACTTTTAGAAAGAATTGATCTTCCTCAATACAATCTGTCCAGTTTAATTCATGAGAGCACCCGTACACTATATAAGACTCGAATGGACTCCAAACTTGACGAAACACTAACAAATACCAAATGCATATATGAGAACATAATATCAAGTATTCATCAAACAGCACAGGAGGTCTTAGGAATCAAACAAAATAAAATTAGTAACAAGCTTTGGTGGAATGAAGACGTCGAAAATGCGGTAACAGAAAAGAAAAGATTATACCATAAGTGGTTGAATACAAAAGATGACGCAGACAAAGAGCGATACAATGAAATGAAAAAGAAAACTAGAAAGATAATTATGACCTCCAAAAATGAGACATGGGACAGAAGGTGCAGAGAGATAGAATCTTATATTGGAGGACGACAATGCACTGAGGCGTAGAAGTTTATAAACTCTGTTAACAAGGTCTCATAAACTTGTTCAAAGCCTGTATTTGCTTTTTTCCAATCTTCTCCATGACCGCTCTAAAGTTCTGCGACTTTCTCTTTCGAATGTGAATTTCTATTGGTAGGACTTTCATTCTGGTCAATATCATGATTCGCTTTTGGACTTTCTAGTGCTGATTTGACCGTTCTCGAAGCCCGGCTTGTCTTAAAATAAAATAAAAAAACATTTATTTTTTTCCAGAGAAACCTCGTAAATCGTTATTGTGAATACTTGAATATATTTTGGTACGTAAAACCTCGTATCACAATTTTTTCAGTTAAAAATTTACTAAAATACATTATTTTGTAAATTCTTGTACCAACTGACAAGTTTTTGCTTTTCCTTAATTGATTTATATAATTTGTTTCAGTTGGTCAACTGAAATATAACAATTAAGTCATCCTAACCTCAAATTTTTTAGAATAATAATAGTTGTTTCTGTTTAATGTAAAACAATGCGTCTACTTATTATTAAAACAGAGTATTAAGATGTTTTCACTTACTATAGCTTCTAATAAACAGTTTTATATAAGTATTATAAACCTATATAACTGCACAAGAATGTTCAGTATTTAACAATTTTTCTGACACGTGTTGAACCTCGTGGTTTTGTGTATAACATGTGCGATACAAGTTTTCTGAAGTCAAGTGACGGAGGTGCAATTTCACATCCTTTGTGCTAAGAGGTTTCTCAATCAATGCAGCTCGATTTTGCCATGTTAGCGACGATATACACATCTCAAAAGATTTCAATTTTGGGTTTTCTTTATTGAGCGTCAAATGTTATATCCTACACTGTATAACTGATAATATAAATCATCGCACCATTTATTTGCTAGAACAACGATTTTTTCAGTTCATAATCCTTTAATTGACTGTAATTCCAACTATCAAGGGATATCTCCTTAACGCACATGTATTTTCTAATATAAAACTTACACAAAAACTAATATTGCACTGCAAGATACCAGACGCATGGAGAAACATCATAAAGATACCAATGTTCCAGAAAGGAGATAAAGAAGACCCCAACAATTACAGAGGTATAAATCTACTGAACACCGCACTTAAGCTTACCACAAAAGTCCTAACCAACAAAATCAATAAAATAACAACTTTGTCAGATGAACAACAAGCATTCAGATCCGGAAGATCCTGAGTAGACGTCGTATTTGTACTAACACAAGTCACAGACAAGGCAATCCAGTACAATAAACCAGCATATCTATGTTTATAGACCTGACAAAGACTTTCGATCGCATGCAAGTCGAAGACGTCTTACACCTACTGTATAAAAGAAACATATCAATCAATAACAAAAATGTAGTAATTTTAATGAAAGAAACTTTTAATAAAAAAAAATATAAGAACAAGATGAGCCCTAATTCAATGCGATCCATATTAAAAACTTAGAATTCTCTTACAGCTCATTTCTTATCCATTCTTTTCGTTTATCTCATTATTTAGTATAAAGCACAAGATGTCTACTAGGTTTACACTAATTTGGTTATTCAATAAAACGCAAGTTAATTTTTATTTATTTATTCAATCTTACATTACATTTAATATGATGGCAGCACCATACACTTGGAAGCTTTATGCAATTTGGAATCAGGAAAATAAATAAACAAACATACTGAACAATACTAAAAATATTATTATTCAGATTAATATAGAATTTGAGCAAGTGTATACAATATCGCTAAAAATCGGATACTTTCGTGCATAATACAATAGTAACCGTTATGTACAGACAGGGATTCTTGATCGGACCGGAGTAAAAACAAATGTAATAAAAATTTTGAAAGCTAAAATAAATTGTGCATGCCCTTCGATACGTACCTCATGAACATTTGTTAAAATTAAATGTATCTTTTTAAACTTTGAGGGTATACAAGGCAACTATCGAACACGGTGATTAATTTAATCTTGCCCAAGCGCTTTCGATCAATAGATCATCTTCAGGGGCATCTGAAATAAGCCAAGAAACGTTTTTTATAATCAGGAAAATTAATTCACTTGGATAAAAAACTCCAAGTTTATGGTTGAAAAAAATTTTTTTATATGTGATAAACGTTTATAGACTTACTTCGTCAATTGTGGACTATCCGACATACTAGAATGTCATAAAAGTAAAAACTGGACATAACAATACAAAATACACTACACTAAGACAAACAAACACTTTAAAATTTATATGGCGAAGCTACATATTGTGAAGAAGCCGGAGACAGAATGGGCTCCCGGTCTGACGGAAATGTAGAGATGACATGTGACAAATGACAGCTTATGAAGGGCAGTTATGTGATCTGCACCTTTCAAAATTCTATGACAATAAGTATTGACCAAAGGTCCAACTGACACCACTATAGGAAATCGACTGATGAAATATAAAATTATATAGTATATTTTTTATGTGGATTGAATAATTCCAATCTCACACTCAAACCTGTCTATAATAATTAGGATGTTGGTTTGAGAGCAATTGAAGTTGACATAAAGTATGAATGTGAGAAAAGACTAACAATATATTAGACAGTGGATGGTTGACTACAATAAAATGGTCCACCAAGCGCTATCAGTACTGTAAAAAAGAAAAATCTGAATATGCAGTTAAATTACTAAAAGTTAAAATCAAAATTGAAGACAAAATATATAAATGTGTTATAGTCCACGTAGTTCAGTTGAATCCACAGTCAATGGAAGAACTTTAAAATTAATATTGAAATATTCAGTGCATGAAGTCTAAACAGTCGAGCTGGGTCCTCTACGAGGTGAAGCTGTAATAAAGTTTTTAAATATAGGATTAAATTTAGTACAATTTAAATTAATTTGAGTATTAAGACAGTGAGAGTTTTCATTTGTTTCCCTTGTAATCTCCAAATCTTCCAATAAATCCAACTCAAGATAGTTTTTCTTTCTGCTAATGTCATGTAAGATAGATGAACCAGAATTGATGTTAAAATTGTGGTTGCTGGCTACTAAGTGTTGACCAAAACTTGAAGAATTTGGTCTTTTCAAATGTTCAGAGACTCTAGTGGATAACTTTCTGATGGTTCTACCTACATAAGATGCATCACAATCATCACATTTTAATTTGTAAATACCACTTTTATCAAGTGTATTCATCCTATCTTTGGTATTGATTAAGAAGGAACCTAAAGTGTTATGTGATTTAAAGGAAATTTTGATGTTATCAATTGTAGAAGAAAAAAGTTTAGATATTTTATTGGAAATGCTACTAATATAAGTGAAGGAGAAATATCTGATGTTATCTGAACCATTCGGTTGGGAAATTCTTCACAGTTTTCCCAACCGAATGGTTCAGATAACATCAGATATTTCTCCTTCACTTATATTAGTAGCATTTCCAATAAAATATCTAAACTTTTTTCTTCTACAATTGATAACATCAAAATTTCCTTTAAATCACATAACACTTTAGGTTCCTTCTTAATCAATACCAAAGATAGGATGAATACACTTGATAAAAGTGGTATTTACAAATTAAAATGTGATGATTGTGATGCATCTTATGTAGGTAGAACCATCAGAAAGTTATCCACTAGAGTCTCTGAACATTTGAAAAGACCAAATTCTTCAAGTTTTGGTCAACACTTAGTAGCCAGCAACCACAATTTTAACATCAATTCTGGTTCATCTATCTTACATGACATTAGCAGAAAGAAAAACTATCTTGAGTTGGATTTATTGGAAGATTTGGAGATTACAAGGGAAACAAATGAAAACTCTCACTGTCTTAATACTCAAATTAATTTAAATTGTACTAAATTTAATCCTATATTTAAAAACTTTATTACAGCTTCACCTCGTAGAGGACCCAGCTCGACTGTTTAGACTTCATGCACTGAATATTTCAATATTAATTTTAAAGTTCTTCCATTGACTGTGGATTCAACTGAACTACGTGGACTATAACACATTTATATATTTTGTCTTCAATTTTGATTTTAACTTTTAGTAATTTAACTGCATATTCAGATTTTTCTTTTTTACAGTACTGATAGCGCTTGGTGGACCATTTTATTGTAGTCAACCATCCACTGTCTAATATATTGTTAGTCTTTTCTCACATTCATACTTTATGTCAACTTCAATTGCTCTCAAACCAACATCCTAATTATTATAGACAGGTTTGAGTGTGAGATTGGAATTATTCAATCCACATAAAAAATATACTATATAATTTTATATTTCATCAGTCGATTTCCTATAGTGGTGTCAGTTGGACCTTTGGTCAATACTTATTGTCATAGAATTTTGAAAGGTGCAGATCACATAACTGCCCTTCATAAGCTGTCATTTGTCACATGTCATCTCTACATTTCCGTCAGACCGGGAGCCCATTCTGTCTCCGGCTTCTTCACAATATGTAGCTTCGCCATATAAATTTTAAAGTGTTTGTTTGTCTTAGTGTAGTGTATTTTGTATTGTTATGTCCAGTTTTTACTTTTATGACATTCTAGTATGTCGGATAGTCCACAATTGACGAAGTAAGTCTATAAACGTTTATCACATATAAAAAAATTTTTTTCAACCATAAACTTGGAGTTTTTTATCCAAGTGAATTAATTTCCTGATTATAAAAAACGTTTCTTGGCTTATTTCAGATGCCCCTGAAGATGATCTATTGATCGAAAGCGCTTGGGCAAGATTAAATTAATCACCGTGTTCGATAGTTGCCTTGTATACCCTCAAAGTTTAATTATTCGAACATTCAACCTTATATTAAAATTAAATGTATATATATATTATATATATATATATAATATATATATATATATATATATATATATATATATATATATAATATATATATATCGTGATACCTTGTATTTCCTATTAGAAACAAAGATGAAAGGCATCTTCCAAGAGTTTCAATTGAATTAAAGATGACGTATTTGAAAAATATCTATATTTTAATTATATAGCGACATCTGTAAACGAGTAGGAGTATTTGTAATACCACATATTTATATAATATATGGGTGAGTTGTTAGCGATAGTTCGTTTTGAGTATAAATGAAGTGATTCGATGAATGATGTCTTTTCAAACAGTTTCCATTGGATTGAAGATGACGTATTTGAAAAATTACGCCATCTGTAAACAAGTAGGAGTATTTAATACAATATACGGACGAGTTGGTAGCGATAGTTCGTTTTGGGTGTAAATAAATAGTTTCGATGAATTGGGAATGACCGAATTTGAGCACATGGCGTACAGGAAACGGAAAAAAATAAAGAAAGGAGAAGCTAAGAACTATCGCTTGTGATAGTGATTTTAAAACTCATTCTATACGTCTGTATTTTAATTAAATCTCCAAAAAGAACAAATATAGAATATGCAACAAAAAAGTTACTGAACTACTGAAATAGGTAACGACTACCAAAAAATATTTTAGAGAGACTAGATTTCTTAGATAGAAGAAATGTATAAAACAAAGTTTTTTCTTGTAAGAACTTTTTAACTAGTTATTTTATTACACTTTATTTGAAACCATATTGGAGATCCTTTTTTCATGATTCTGATATGTTATTTAGGAACGCGTAGTAGAAACACATACAAGTGTTGCTAAACAATTATTGACTAATATTTACAGATACATTTTGATATTTTATATAAATTATATATAAATTACATTAAAATATGCATATTTAAAAACATTTTCAATTTGCCAGTAAAATTTTAGTTGCAAGATTTTTATTAAAAATAATAAATTTTTGCTCTGGTCCGGTTTCAAGACTCCGACAGTGTGGCTAACATATAATGAGAGGAATGGGAATAAGCCACAACATCGGTTAATTCCCTAAATATATTGCAATGATGGCACCCTGAGTAAAACAAAATGAATTCTAATCTACCACTGGAATGAATAGTTTTTAAATTGGCGCACTCACGAATGGGACTGCATAGTCTTGTGTTTGACACGTAAATCGGTTAGGACGTAATTATTGGGAGTAGCTCGAGGTATGTCCGGCAATTTGTCACCAGGATGCCTGTGATGAACCGAAGGCGTTTTTCTAGTTTGTTGCTTAAGTTTACTACTATTTAATTCCGTAACTGGGTATTTAGATCGGGAAGGAGAGCTTAAAGATTGCCTTGAGATCACTTCATTTGGGTGCTTCGGCATTACAAAGGCTTTCGTTTGCTTTAGAAGCGATCTGTCATTGCACAATGCAGATATCAATGGCAAGTCCATTTTCTTACTTTTCTCTCTTAGAGTACGGATATCTAAAGCCGATGCTTTATTAGTAGGAGATCCATTCTGAGTTTTATCACTTGTACTTTTCTTTAAATCAGTATGACTACTATTAGGAATTTCTACTAATGGGATTGTTTTTTCGGGAATTGGGGGTGGTGGCGGAGGAGGCGGCATTCTTCTAAACTTTGGGGGCTGTTTCATATCTAAAGAATTGAGAATATTGTCGTCAGATCGGGTTCTCATAAATTTCCCAGGTCTATTCGGAGGTAATGGTGGTGGTGGAGGATCCAGGCTTCCAGTTGATGAAATGCTGGGGGCACCATAAACAGGTAACTGAACATAAGTATCTGACAAATTCTGACTTGAAGCGTATCTATTCAGATAAGGCGTACTTCTGTAGAATATTGGCTGTTGAGCTAGTGCTGCCAATAGAGAGCCTTGTTTAGCCTCCAAATATTCCTGTTTGCTTATAGCTGGTTCTTTTAACGGAAAAACAACAAAATCAACGTCACTATACATTTGTTGTTGGTACTGTTCTATTTGTGACCTTGAAAACTGACTTGTGAAAACCGTCGTAAGGGCTGTGGGAGGTGGAGGAGGAGGTTGTCTTGGAGTTGGTGGTGGAGGCGGTGGAAGAAACGTACATGGAACCAATACACTTGCTTTACTAGCGGCAACATCTAAATAATTATTTGGAGAAACCACTGTGTTTTTTATTGGTGGAGGGGCTCTCGGAATTTTTGGAGGTATTGGCGGAACAGCACTAGGCGTAGAATAACTTGGTGATGAACTAACACTTACGGCACTAGCGTGAGCCGTAAGTACACTGGGTGATCTAGTGGTAATAAATCTAGCTCCTGCTTCTTCAAATGGATAAACTGGAGGTGGAACTGGAGTCGAATTTTCGGGATACGGAGGAGGACTTCGTAACATTCGTTCAGATACACTTGCACCATCGTCAAATTCGAGCATGTATTTTCCGCTGCCGGTAACTTAGTTAATTGTGCCCCATATGGTGGAGGTGGAGGTCGAAACCGCTGTTCTACACTATCAATTCGTTTAGGTGGAACTGGTGCATATCCTTTGTAAGAAGAAGGTAAAGTGACATAATCCGAATCGGAGTCTAAGGTATGACTAACACTTTTGCACAAGGGATATCGCCCTACTATCAAATCTGATAGTTCTTCTGCTGAAAGTAATGTTTGTTTACAGTCAGTAGGGTCGCTACCATCTCCATGAAATGAACCAGAGTTGCTTACGTTTGAATTTGTCCTGTCCCTAAAATGTCCATCAACATGATCTTCTGGATTGGAAAATGGTTCACTCGATGTACTATATTGCTCACTAGTAGCGGTATAGTGATCACTGGAACTGAGAGTATATTGTTCACTGGAGGTTAACGTGTACACTCCACTAGTGTGACTACTTGGGGCAGGTCCGGATGTATACACGGCTTCGGTGGTATCCAGTTCAATACAGGTTGCATCGCTGAGCGCTGAATTTTGGGCAGTATGCGAATATCCCAGTTCTAAGCTGCTAGTTGTAGAAGATCTTCGTCCTTTGACTTCTGGAATTAAAAAAAAAGAAATTAGGTTTACACATACATTTAAATACACTGATCAATAAATCAGTCCAACTGGCAGCATATGCAGATGACATAATTAGCATGAGCAGAACCAAAGCAACAGGTTAGAGTTAATATACAGAACTTAAATCACACAATAAATAAAGAGGTCTGTCAATAAACTAAAAAACGACTAAAATCCTAGTACAAATTCGATCGGAGAGGGCAACATGACCCTAAATGACAGTTGACAAATTAGAAACAGTAGATAGCTTTTTTAAAATATTTAAATCATGAGACCTACATCAAAGAATTAAAATACGAATCTACAAGACCATAATCTGACCGATAGTGAGTTATGGATGTGAAACTTAGGTGTTGACTCAAAAATCTGTAAAACGCATAGACACCTTTAAACGGAAGATACTGAGACGAATACTAGGCCCTATTAATGAATGAGAACAACTGGTGGCGAATTACATACAATTACAAAATCTTCCTTTCCTTATCATCCACTCAACTCTACTGCTTTTTGCTACGTTATTTTGTTTCACGAAATTAGTGCGGCATAAGTTACGATGATCTGATAACCGTTATATACGAACAATAGATCATTTTTAGTTTTTAACTCCATGTTTTGTCACAAAGCACATGACACGTTCAAAGGGCTTTAGTTGCTTTGGGACAAACGTTGCTCTAGTTGCGATTTTTGAGGCGAGATGAGACATTCCACGTAAGTTTTCTATCTAAGACAACTCTTCTTCTTAAGATGCCAATATGTTACAGATGTTGGACACTAACATGGCTACCTGAGTTTTGATTGCTGTCCTAAGAAGATTTGGTCTTTTTCTTTCTGGACCTCTTTTTCGCTGTTTATTACGATTATATGGCCCAAGTATTCAGTCTGCGACGTTTTATGCTAATGACTAGTTCGCATTCTTTACCCATTCTGTGTATAAATTCGTTGGTAACTTTGTCTCCTCAACATGCATCTTTAGCATCACATTTGAAATGCTTCGAGTCTCTTTATTGATGCTTCAATTAACGCCACTGTTGGAATATTTTTCCACTTTTCTTTATATTTTTAAAGATCTAATAAGTCTTTTTACTACGTCTTTGTCCATAATTCTAAAATTCCTAAGATAACTCAGAGATACTTAATTTCTTCTGAGGATCATAGTGTTGTTCCATTCATGGTCAGAGGTTGAATTATTAATTCCCTCCTATTTGTGAATGAAACAAGTGTCGTTTTATTAGGATTCCTCTTTTCGAACACCAGGTAATTACTGGGTTTAAGGCAACTTGCATGCGCTCAACAATAATAAGGCCATGCTTACCTCTAACCACTATAACCAGACCGACCATAATCCAGAGCACGAAATCCCTCTTTTTTAAACTTTGTTAACAGATAGTCGACCACTATCCTCCAGTCCATTGTAGAGATCATGAGACTCTTGAGGACAACTTTTTACTACTATTATAGTGGCTCAGGTAGATAATTATTTTTCTAGTACTGAGTATGGATTGAATCCATTTGATAGAGGAAGGTGGTACACGTTTTTCTATTGCCACAGCGTTAATAGACTCCAATGAGGTGTTGATCTCATCAGGATGGTAATAATCCCTCTCTATGTGTATGAACGCACATAATGCCATTTCGTTTCCAGATATCGGCTTTTCTTGATCTTTAACAAGACAATGCAAGACATCTATGGTAGATTTGCCTGCGAACTGTTCTTCGTGAAGCAGTATACCTGACAAGCATTACCTTCACATGTAAGTTTCTAATTTTTTCCATACTTTTATTTTTAGACGAAAGGTTTTTAGTTCGGCTAATAGGTATATATAATATGACTTTGATTCCTCTGGAGTGCGTTTACTACTCTTAGAAATAAAGCAGGCCCTATCATTTCTCCAGTCATTTAGAGTATACTCTGACACGAAACTCATCTCGAATATTTTTGATAGGTAAGGAAGTTGGATATCCGTTCCCTGTTATAGAAGAGCAAAAAGATGCCACCTCCTCTGAAGACTTCTAGGGCTTAAAACTATCGATAGTATACATATTGGATTCTGTTTCAAAGCTCTGATTTAAAAATTATCGTCCAATATTACTAATAGCATTATTTAACGTTAGAGACATCTGCAAGAGCAATATGCCAAAGTATTGAAAAAAGAAGATATCCGACCAATGTGTGCTTCCAGACTATAGTAACCAAACTCAAAGTAACCCAAAGACGAATGGAACGCTCAACTACTTGGACTGAATCTCAGAGAAATGTTAGAAACTAAGAAATAAGAAGAAGGATAGGTGTCGCAGATGTCATAGAGCATGGCTGAAGTGGAACTAGACGAGCTATGTGGCCAGAATGAATGACGGGCAGTGGAGCCAAAAATTACAGTATGGAGACCACGAGCTGAAAGAAAAAGCAGAGATAGAACACCTACACGATTGACAGACGATGTCAAAAGAATCGCTGGGAATTAGCTACAAGAAGCTCAAAAACGACAGAACTGAAAGGAATTATGGGAGACCCATGTCCAATTTTGGACGTAGAAAGCTGGATAATAATGATTTGAGTGCCATACGTAATACAAAGCTCTAACTACAATCATATATAGCCAATAGATCTGTTTGGGTTGCATACTCCATGTTTCCCACATATCCTTGCATACCCGGTATGTCAAAAGGGAAGCTTTGCTTTATCGGTTATTCTTTAAATTTGGGCGTTCCGTGTAAGCCGCTTATCTAGTATTACTCCTAGATATTTGACCCCATTCAACTCTTTGACAGTTTCTTCATACAGACCAGGTATTCAAATGTTATCTAGGTTTCGTCTCCTTGGGAAACGGACTACTACTGTTTGACTAGGATTGACAGCGTTTTTCCCTATCGCACCACCTAGTAACGATATTCCTTGAAATGTGCTAGATAGACTATATTTTCCTCTTGGCATGATTACTATATCATTCGCGTAGACCTGCACTTCTACCTCCTGTGCATTTAGGAATAGGTTAAGTCATCCATTAGGAGTGACCATATGAGGGGAGAAAGCACTTTTATTTGTGAGCTGTTTTGTGTAAAAAACTCCTCTACCTACCGATTTTTCCGAATGTTGTCGAAAAGCTGTTGATGGGTGATATTCCGAACCAAGTTTTGGAAAGTTTTGTACTGTGAACAATTTCAACAGTGATCTTATAGGAATGATATAATTCTTCTTGGCATATACTGAAGAAAGTTGAGCTACAAAGATGATGAAGGAGATCAAGCAAATTAAAACCCAATATTTTATTGGTCTACGGTGATCATAATGTAGAGTAATATTATTTATTATTATACCAAAAGACAACAAATGTATTAAGATCTACAAAGACAGACATCACAACAAAAAAAGAGGCCGAATAGGAAAATATTGGAAACAATGACAGTAACGTCTCCAGATAACAGACTTTAATTCAATATTTGATGTGGTTTATAAATATTAAGTATTTTGATATTTAAACTTACTTGTTTGAATAGGCGTAACGACAACAGTGCTGCAAGATGAACTGCATTGTGATCCAGCACATTTTCCACTAGGGGTCTTTGTAGAACTTTCACTTAATGTTGGCTTCACTTCCTCTTCCTCTTCTTTAAGAGTCATCGTAGTCAAAGCAGCAGTAGCTGACGCCGCAGAGGTTCGGCTACTAGCAGGCGCACTGTCCAGCAGGTGCGCTAGTGCCAAACTTTCTGTCGATTGGGCTGGTGGACTGGTGATCATTATTTCAAGTTCATCTTCCGAATGAACACGATCGCTAACGATTCCAGATGTTGTGTTGGACGAAGTTGAACTTATAACTGATATACGTTGGTCGCAATCCCATATTTGCCTTTCTTCTTCTTCCCGTCGTGCTTCGTTAAGACGTGGTGCTACAGCCATACTGAATTGGTGAGCAGCTTTGCACAAAGCCAGGAGGAGACGACTTTTTTCATCGCTACTTGTGTACAGGGTTAATTTTTCATGACCAGTGCGTATTTCGAATTTTTTTCGCTCAAAACTGAGTTTTCCAATACTGCTCCATAAAAATATTGATGGTGGATTATTTTCTGGGCATACTTTTAGGCCTCGAGGACATACTGCTAATAGTAGGGAACCAGGAGCTGGCTCTGATTTAGAAGCCCTTAACCTAAAAATTAAAAATAATTAATATTACTGACACAAAACTGTTCGATTACTTTAAATTTATATCCAAGACTATTAATTTAAACTTATATAGTATACTAATTACTATTTAACTAGGAATGAGCCACAATTAAAGATAAATAGTACATTGTTTACCGGGTAGGAAAAGCTTAACATTCCTGGACGACTGTAAAGATTGCTAAGTCGAGGCGCAAGCCGAGACTTAGCAACACAGAGTCCAGGAATGTGGCTTTTCCTACGAGGTAAACATACTATTTTTCCGCAAATCGTTTAAAATTCGACAGATATTGATTGATTTAAAAAAAAACGCGATAATTTTATTCCCAAATAAATGGTGCTTTGAAATTCCTAATAAAATTACTTGGGTTACTATGGAAACGTATTGAGGTTGAATTGTCAAACTTGACGCTACAAATTTAATTGCTGGTTAACACTAACAACTGTACGGAAATATCATTTCCTTACAGTAAGGAATTGACATTTCCTTACAGTAAGGAAGTCCTGACTTTTCTTCAAGAAATTTTGACAGGAATGTCAAAATTTCCTGGCGATTTGCGTAAAAATACGTTTATTGACGTTAATATAAATAGTAATTAATTTAAAATGAGACAAGAAAATAGCTTCGGAACAAAATTATATAGTATACGTTTTTAAAGTTAAATGTTAATATTAGTAACAGTAGTTGTTAAGTTAGTTGTTAATATTTGTTAGTATCTAGACTTTAACCAAAATTATTGTCGTTGAAAGTAAAATTTTCAGACATATTTGAGCCGCTCGGAGGAAAAAAAGACACTATAAATTTGTGATCTACTTTAGTGACACTGTTGTTAATGTTTTCAACTATAGCATCCCAAATCAGTGACAACTTTATATTTAGTTTTTTTCCCGTGCATGCGTCGCTGTATTCAATGTTGTGTTTAGTGTCGGCACAGTGAAGTTCGATGTGTTTCATGAGACACGAGCCAATTCCTTGAGATTCGCGGGACGCAATAGTTTCATTCCATGTGTACATGAACGCTTGGCCGGTTGCAGTGTGTTGAATACCAGATTCGTACATGTTACGTTTATAATAAGCGACCGAGGAGAGAGCTTGAGAAACGCCAGGGCTTTCTCGAGATAGAATGTGAAAACCACAGTATCTTCTGAATGTTTTAACAGTTCTGTCTTCTTGCAAAGACATTCTTGCTTTTTCAGCTTTTCGCAAGTACAGCTGGTGTTTCGTTTCCAGAGAATTTTTTTCTGGTCCATCAGGTAAAACTGCAACTAAAAGTTTGTACTTATCACAACGTGCACACGTGTCCTTCCTAGGTGCGTGGAAAGACAAATTGATTCTTTGTTGAACACGTCTCTGTAGATGTGCTCTTTAACCACTTTTTCTGGGGGCATACCTTTTTCTTCGCAGTGCCGTAGATATAGATTGTAGAGTTTCCTAATGTTGAGCTCAGGACTTAAGTACTTTTTGTTTAGGTTATGAGCCCTAGTATAATGACTATCATATCGAGGAAATAGTTCAATATGTTCCTTAATAATATTTAGATCGTTATCTGATGTTTTGTTAGCACACAGGTTTTTTCCACGGAGATCTTCGCCCGGAGGCTTAGCCAGTTCCTCTTTTTTTAATAGCCTTTGAAGTCTTCCGTTTGAGATATTAAAAGTATCCAAAAAGTACTTCTTACAAACTACGACACTATCTGATTTAACATTTACAACGTACTTGTATGTTACAGATTTTGGTCTCTTTGATGCCTCGGTATGCTCATTCGGGCGGCGTTGTTGTACTGGAACTCGCTGGACAAGTCCCGAAATATAAGCATTTTGACCAAAAAAATCTCCCAAACTCCAAAAACGAGAGAACGGCCTCATTCTGTCTAATTCACTAACAAAACTATTGCAGCGTTTTACACACCCACAAGTTGTATTCTTAAAAGTATTTGCGAGTATAACCTTGCCTTTGCTTGTTAGATACTCCTTCCCAGCATTCCTCTGTATTTTACGTTTAACTCCTTATGATCGCCATCGTGCCGTACACGTTTCTTGCCTTTTTGTACATTATTTCCGTCACTGACTGTATTACTTTCACAAATATGATTTACACTATTCCTTGTTTCTGTATACAAAACAGCAAAAAAACACACTTTTTAGTTGTTAATCTGATGCAGTTATCGTGCATCAGGTAAAAACCATACAATACAATACGATTAATAGATCCTCACTGTTCACGACAGCGACAATCGTAGAACTACCGAAAGCGCACGGGTCAGGCACGATGACGGGTGGTGTTATGAGTTATACCACTATTCCACAGAGCGCGCGACATTTCGTTCAAAGGAAAAAATACACCTTTATTATCTCACTAACCTTGAATATTTGAATTATACCACTTCTCTATGGAACACATTGCACCACTAGGTACCCACAACTGGTATATGTCAAAAATTCAAATTTTGTGAGTTATACCACTTTTCCTCTGAGCGGCTCATTTATGATGATGTATTTATATAGTTTGTCCGACATTTTTCAAACGATTCTCAAGATGCAAGATAAAAATATTACCTAAATACGTGAGCGTTGACTGGTTCTTGAAGCTGACAAGCTTCTGCTATAAACCTCGCCCGAGCCTCATTCTTCGACAAACCCCTGTGAGTCCTATGCGCAGCTTCGATAATCCTAAGGGCCGCGGGACCCCGCATATTTGGAGGAACGTAGTCTTCTGGTCGGAATGTCGTGGTTTCGCTGTAATCTTCCAAATCAGCCTGTAGTGAAAGCCCCGCCAAATGGGTGCCATGATCTCCAGCAGCTCCGGATGAAGCGTTGAGACGTAGTTGGAGGTAATAGTGGTGTCTTGTAGTTTCATCTCTAAGTAACAAGGGACTATCGACATAAAATTGAACCCTGAAGTAGAAAGCCAAGGCTGGACGGCCGTTGGCATCGAGTCCATGGCTGTGAGAGGAGCGCCAACTCTTCGGGGCATATTTGGAAAGCTTGCTTTCTGGTTCAGCAAATAGGTATTCTCCATCTGTAAAAAAGAATATATATTTAATAGTATCTTAATTAAATCTTAACAAATGTCATTATTTTTTGTTATATATATATATATATATATATATATATATATATATATATATATATATATATACATACATATTTTTTATTTGAATACAGCTAATTTTGAGATTTACAGTTAAAGAAGTCGGACACGTGTAATGTACCGACACTTTATGAACTTGGAAATCTTAAAAAAATAATAGCCATACTAACTCAACATAAAGCCAATAATACTGCTGTGCAAGCAGTACGATGGACTATAGTGTATTTTTATGTATGAGAGAGTAATAAAACAATAAATTATGTATGCAAATCCCTAAACTGTTGATACGGGTGACTCAATGAAAAACAGATATTTGTCAACAAGTTTACAGAAGTATATAGGAAAACAATTTTAAATTGAGTATGACCACCAGGTATAAAGGTTGGAGCAGAATAGAATACAATAGTTGTGAGGGTTACTAATCCCTAAATAAGGTTGCCAGTGTCGGAGTGATGGAGGTTAACAGGTACTAATGAATTTGCAAGAAATGTAAGATGTTTATTTTATTGGTTATATATAACCAATAAAAGTTTAATAAGTACCTACCTATTTGCAAAATAAAGTTTAATTCTTTAGATAAAATAAAACGTTTTATTTTATCTGAAATGAGTGCATTCCACGAAGTAAGGGTTTCAACAATCAAACATTTAATTCTTTAATTCCAGGAATCTACGACAGTAATTGACTAGATAATTACCTTCTAAACTTATTCCACAGAAAATGTGATAGTGGGTTTTTCCATTTTGTAGGAAGGTCCAAGTGGCGTATTCAAAATTCTTAACAGTTCACTAAAAGTAGGTACTTTAGTTGCAAGGTGCAGTTTATTGTGTATACTAGTGTTATGGAAAATTTGGAAGTGCCGTGTAAACGCCGAAAAATTGGTCCTTTAACAGTTAATGAAAAAACATTAATATTTAATTGTTTTAAATCATTTACAGACAAACGTTTATGTGAAAGTGTTGATGAGACCGTTGAGTTAGTTAGCAGTACACTTGGTGTTGGGAAATCTACGATTTACAGAGTTATTAAAGAACGAGAAATGTGGTAGTTTTCAAATGCCACGTAATGCTCCAGGGAAACCAAAATTTCAAATAGAATATCATTTTAAAGAAGGACTTCGACGGAAAGTGCATGAATTCTTCTTTAGACAAGAATTTCCAACATTGGATAAAGTTCTTGTCTCAGTTCGAGATGATAAGGATTACCCAGAAATGAGTCGAAGTACGTTATGGAAACTTTTAAAAGAAATAGGCTTCCGCTGGAAAAAAAATCCCAGAAAGTCTATTTTATTAGAAAGAAGCGATATTGTCATATGGAGAAGACATTTTCTAAGAACCATAAAGGAAATGAGAAACCAAAAAAGAAAAATATTTTATCTTGATGAAACATGGATCAACGAGGGTCATACACCAAATAAATTTTGGCAGGATGAAACTGTTACAAGTCAAAGGCACGCTTTTGTAAATAACTTATCTACTGGTTTAAACCCACCATCAGGAAAGGGACGCAGGCTGATAATAGTACACATTGGCAGTTCAGACGGTTTTGTTGAAGGTGGTTTATTAACTTTTGAATCAACTCGTACCGGTGACTACCATGAAGACATGAACGCTGATGTCTTTCAAGAATGGTTCGAACAAATGATAGATCTTCTTCTAAGAACTGTGTAATAGTAATGGATAATGCAAGTTATCACTCCAGACTTATAGAAGGACTGCCCACAACCAAGTGGTTAAAACAAAGACTTGCAGAATTGGCTGAGTTCAAAAAATATTACGTACCATCCCGGATCTATAAGAAAGGAACTTTATTCGTTGTGTGCCCTTCATAAAGAAAATTTTAAAAATACGAAATTGATGAAATTGCCAAAAATCGTGGAATGACAGTACTTAGATCCCCACCATATCATTGTGAATTAAACCCGATTGAACTGGTATGGGCACAGATAAAGAGTGAAGTTTCAAGAAAAAATACCACTTTTAAAATTCATGATGTTAAACAGTTGTTTTTGGAGGCCGTAAATAATGTAAAACCTGAAAACTGGAAAAAGGCAGTAAATCACACTATTAAAGAAGAGGAAAAAATGTGGAAGCTGGACAATATTACTGATAAAATGATCGAGCCAGTTATTATAAATCTTGGTTCTGAAAGTTCATCTTCTGAATCTGATTTGGATTTGTAACAAGTAGCTGTAAGTTTTATATTAATATTTTTATTCATCTATTTAACATACCTTAGACGGTTTTAAAAACTCTTTTTCTCTTTTGTAATTTTTAAAAATTAAAAAAAATGTGAATTTTTTAAAACCCTTTTTAATGTAGGCCAGTCAGTTCTAATATAGTGTGTGATAAAAGAGGTCACTTTTGTTTACATACACATAAAACTTTATAACACTGAAATAATTCATTTATTTTTTACAATTATTCAAAGTAATTTTTCAATTAATCTTGAGCACGCCCATGGAGTGGTCGAAGGTACCAGTTAAAATTATGCTAATTACTCTCTCGTTCATAAAAATAAACTATAGTCAAGTAATTATAAAATAACGCATTCCTATAAAATAATATAAACAATTAAGTCTATTGTTAAACATGTTAACACTAGTTACCCATATGGTGTCTTGATCCAAATTATCCAAATTGTTCCAGATATTAAATATTCTGTTTGGCAAGAAGTTCACCCTGGACCTTGCAGTAGTCTGTTCACCCTTTAATTTGTAACGATGGCCTCTCAATCTTTCGTGTTGATTTAAGGTGAATATGGTGTTTCTTCTTCTTAACATGCCATACACCAAAGTGTGTAGGCGACTATCTCATTACTAGAATTCTGTTCTTGGCGACGTGACACAGCTCGCCTGTATTGTATATTCCTGTCCATTCTTTAATATTCCTTAACCAGGATAATTGTTGGCGGCCGGCTCCTCTCCTACCTTCGATCTTCCCATGTAGGATTAACTGTGGTATTTCATATTTTGCTCCTCTCAATATGTGCCCAAGGTAACCAATCTTGCGTTTTTTAATTAATTCAAAGAGTACTCTTTCCACGCCGGCTCTCTTAAAGACGTCATCGTTTCCAAACTCTATCCACCCAAGGTGATGCGCATCATTCTTCTCAATGACCACATTTCAAATGCTTCAAGTTTGTTGATAGATGTTTTTTTTCAAAGTCCACGTTTCCATGCATATGGTGTTTAGGGTCTCAAAATGATATTTTAAAATACGGAAGGACATACATAATTAGGTTCTCTGAAAACGTCGCTACTCGAATGCTGTAAGATGAGGCATGGATAGTCCTATCTTCATAATAAGTCTTGTGGCTTTACGCTAAACATTTCCAAGTAGAATTTTATCGTGACTGATATCTGGACTCCACACTGGCCCGGCAAACTCGAGAATATGTTTGACGTATATTTAGTAAGGTTTATTAATAGAGGTTAAAAATATAGGTGTAAAACATTTACGGATTAAAAACAATTTCGAGTTTGTACGTTTACATGTGATCAGACCAGTGATCACATGTAAACGTGTATCTATGTGACAGACCAGTTTAAGTTACTAATAATTATCATTCCGAGATCGCTGTGGGAGGTTACCACAGTTGCAATTGGATTCACATATAATTTGGTATCCTTGGTCCAAGTACTGTTCCCTGTGAGACTACTCTGGCTTATCGATTGAGTAATCTTCCCCAACACGAACCCTGAAGTATCTGTGAGATAGAAAATCTGGAATCCAAATGTTTAACTTTACGCAGAAACCATGGTGATCTAATTTAGCTTGTAACCGACGTTTGGGAATATGGCTGAAAGCTTTGGAAAAGTCTAAGTAGACTACATCAACAGGATGCCGATTGTTTATAGATGATGACCAATCATTTACAAAATGAAGTAAGTTTGTGATTATCAAAAAGTCGTTGAACGACTTTTGATAGAGCCATGCTTTTGTTGATGGATGACATTTTCTTGAAGACGAAACTCAGACATTTCCAAAATAATGAATTCCATAACCTTTCCGACAATAGGAACCGGGCTGATTGGACGATAATTATTGCCAACAAGTTTACTTCCTTTCTTGAATATAGGAGTAACTGAAGTTAATTTCCAAGGCGATGGGAGAGAACCTTGATTAAAAGAAGCAGTCGTTATGACAGATATAGATATGACTACAGATTCTGCACATTATTTGAGGAAAAAAGAATGTTAGTTCGTCTAATCCAGGTGATGAATCATTGCGTAGTTTCCATAAGTGATGTTTAAATGCATCCGGAGTGAAAAGGATATCAACAGTTTTAGGGAATTGTGGGTACATTATTTAAGGAATGGTATCGTAAGGTTCATCTGTTAAAACCAGAGAAAAAAAAAACGATAACTATTCCGAATATTTGGTATTCGAAGAACATAAATACCCGTCAGCTTTTTGAAGTAATGGTGTGGTGACTTTAGAAGGTACGATGCGAATGTACCGATCAACTTTTTAACTATTTTATTTTATACTCCAAGGTTTTAGTCGATTTCTGTATGCGTCCGTTCGGTTGTATGATCAGAAATTATTGAAATAGCAGTATGAAGAAAAGTGTCTGACATGAATAATGGATCTGAGTAATTAAGAAAAATAAATTTCCGGTCTATTTGGGATAAAACTGAATTCGCATTAAAGAAATTAGTAGTGGCATACGTTACGAAATTATTCTTGATAATCCAAAAAATAAACTTCTAAATTGTACGAGATGTAATTGGAGAATCCAATCCCGCAAGGTGATCAAGCTAAAGACGATTATGATAATGGAAAAAATATTGCACAGATAGTGTTCGATAAAAATCATTGAAGATGTATGAACGGAAAACATATCAACCTTCTCTATAAATTAGTTTGTTTTGGTTCAATAATATTCCATATGGTTTTTAAGAACAAACTAGACGTCAAAATTCA